CTTAAGAGAGTTCAGCCTGATCTTACCAAATGTTGACTTTAAAGCTTGTTAGAATGTACAAGCTCTGTTTTCCCCTTTTTTATTGCTTTTCCATGGAAGTTTGCATACATTTTAATAAATCGCTGCACCCATTTCCCATTTTCCTAGTAAAATATAAAGAAATCAGGGGAGACTCAAGACTGTTAGCTCAGTCTTACAGAAAAGGAGTTTACTCACATTAGTTAGATTTTGTGAAGATAAGAAGGTATTCTTCAGACAATTATTTGCCAAATTAATGGTTTTAATGGTCATGTGGCATTTTAATTTCTTTCTCTCACACCAATAATCACAGATCTAAACATGAAACAGTTACCCAACAAAAGAAAGAATATGGGCCAGTAAGTATCAGAACTTTTTTTTCCACCTTAAAAATCTAAAACCCTAAGATGTATAGAAAAAATACTGGCTGGTCAGTATTGGAGAATGTTTGGCCTTTTGTTAGGCAAAAAACAATCAATGAAACTGATTATTTTGATAACAGATTAGTAATTGATCCTAGTGTCAGTTGAGCAGATGATTAACAGTCATCACTTTGATCTCTTCGTTTCATTTCCCCTTTAAAGATTTGTTATTCAAACAAACCATCAGCTGATTCCTGTTCTGCAGCGCTTTGTTCTTTTTAGGAAGCTTCCTTTATTAGGCAATAGGCAGTATTGCATTGTCCTTGTTTGATCTCATTATCTGTAACACATTCCACATTTGTTACACACTTTGAGACCAGAAGGTGTGTGTGATTTTTATGAAATGTGCAGCTGAAGGAGGTGCTTTTTGTCACTGTCAGTCCTCTATAAACAAAATATTTACAGAAAAAGCCAGTCTGTATTTTATTTAGAAAAAAAATAATACATAAAATACTCCTATAATTGGACCACATTTCAGCTATCCAATAATAAAGCCAGCAATTTAAAAGAGAGTCTTTAATGAGTGTGTCTTTGAAGTCAGAGAAAAGTTTCCGGGAACAGGCACATTTTAAAAAATCATAGACTTTACCTGATTACTTAAAAGTATTAAACGATATCTAGTTAGGGTTATCCAGTTAGGTTGAAAGAGCGGGCAATGTGTCTGTCAGGAAGTTATCATAAAAAGCAGCTGGGCTGAGGCCAGATCAGAGGTGCAGAAGATGATAACCCCGAAGGGCAGATCAGCCAGGTTTAGGGTTATTACTGGCAGGTTTCTGGACATTTTGATCACACCTCAGGTGTTGAGTAGATCTCAGTAGCTCTTTGTACTCTTTGGGTTGTTTCTCATGGATCTGAAGTTTTCTTGAGTTTGTTGAGACTCATACATATTGTTAGGGCTGTGCGATATGACCAAAATCTCATATCCCGATATAAAACATCTATCGTCCGATAACGATATAAATCACAGAAATTTTACATTTTCTGTAAATTCTGTGAATCTCGGGTAGCTGAAGTGTTTCCAGCTGGGCGTCGTGTATCTAGAGTCGAGTGTTTTACCAATGCATTAAACTACACATTTTTAGACATAGGTTGTAACGGCCACCGTTTTCTTTGTGAGTATTTATTACACGGCGTGCTGCAGGGAAAAGCCTGTTCTAACGTTTGAGTCTAAGGTTTATTTTTTAGCACCTGACGGCTCTTTTTTTTACTTCTCATCCGTAAATCTGCATCTTTCACGTGATTCAGTTTATTTTGAAAAGTCTCAACAGGATCTTGAGCTTTATTGTGAAAGGTTTATGTGGAACATAAACAAGCGGACACGCGAATGGTTTTACCGTTGCTGTTGCTAACGACAACGCATAAAAACAGGCACTTGTCCGTCTGTAGTGTGGTTATATTAAATATAAGAGAAAGAGAGAACTTTAGGAAATTAATATAGCCACTACAGTGACCATCAAACGATGAAAAAATATTGCCGTAAACAGTTTATTTTGCAACAGCACAAAACAAACGATAGCGTAAAATGAAACGATCGACGTTTTTATATCCTCATCCGATATATATCGTTATATCGAACAGCCCTACCCTCTTGTCTTGGTCTTGTCTTGGTCTATCTATTCATCCATCCATCCATCCCAGCACAAGCTGATTTCCAATCCTCTGCTGGGATTTCGGTTTCCAAATCTTTGCTCCTAGCATTGACCTTGTAGTGTGGACACTTGAGTATAAACAGAATACAAACCTGTGATATGATATCCTTTCTTAAACCCTCATCACATTACACTGTGTGAGTCTAATAACTGATTTGTGTTGTTAATCTTTTATGAAAGGCTCACCTGTACGTATTTAACGAAGTGAAATCACCTACAGATTCTTGTTTCTCCTCAGAAGATGGAGTTGGTGTTTTTCCGGCTCCCGGGACATGGGAACATGACCCTGAAGCACATGAATTCACTGAGATCCCGCCAGCATTTCTGCGACATCACCATCGTGGCCAGTAACAACCAGACGTTCAGGGGACATAAGGTGGTGCTGGCTGCCTGCTCACCCTTTCTGAGAGATCAATTCCTCCTCAACCCATCGTCCAGGCTTCAGGTAGGCCCCCATCAGCACATGTGAGATTATGGCTCCTATTCATATTAAATGAAGCTGTTCTGTGTTCATGATTTTTCTCCAGGTGTCGATGCTGTACAGCTCCACAGTGGTGTGTGATCTGCTTCAGTCTTGCTACACTGGAATCCTGCAGTTCAACCCAGAGGAGATCGTAAACTACCTGACGGCTGCCAGCTACCTTCAGATGGAGCACATCGTAGAGCGCTGCAGAGGAGCTCTGGAGAAATATGTCCAGCTGAAGAACCCCAGTCAATCTAAGGTCAGTCAGTAGACATTAATTATATTTCTTCCTGCTTTCTTACCTGGAGTTTAATTATTAATATTTATTTAGTAATTTAGCACATAAAGCAGTCCAACTATAATTTTTTTTATTTTCTGATTACAGGTTTTTCAACTGGAAATCTTGCACCTTTTTCACCCTAAGCTGTGTGCACATTCTCAGAACTTGCAAAACTTGATAAAGTTTTACTAGATTTTCTGTAATCCTGTTTGTATGTACTCGGTTCAGTTTATTTATCTCAGTTTTTTGGCAGTCTAGCATCCACAGTTTTCAAGATATAATTTTCAAATTTTGTGAGATGGTAGATACCAATAACAGCTCGAGCTGTTTAATTTAGGTGAAAATCAAGTTCAGCTGTTATAGCTGCCTACCAATATCAAGGTCAAGGTCACACCAAATGTGAAAATCAGTAAAAACGTTATACTACCCACAATTTTGAGTACCTTGATTGGGTTAACATTTAACCTTGAGTGTTATTGTAAGCACCCAAGGTTAAATTCCAAGCAACTATATTGAGTAGTATATCACGTGAAAGGGCACAGAGAGAGCTGCACAACACACTTTTTATTTTTTCAACACAACGCCCTATGTCAACACAGTGATGCCATACATTTTCGCCAGATCACACACTGCTTATCTTAAAGGGGACATGAAACGTTACACATATAAAGGCTAATTTACAGGCGCTGGTCTCAAAATGCGACATAGATGTAAAACTGTCCGTGAAGCTGGCTTTACGAAAGAAGTGCTTAAAATTTTAAAAACACGTTTAGCGCCATCGTCTGTCAGTATGAAACATGACGTCATGTGACAGAATCGTTAACTTAGAGGAAAATAAGGACACTAAAACTAAAAATCAGTTTAAGGGGATCCCATTAGTGCTGCTCCTGTTGGCAACAGTGAATTTTACATCAAGAAACTGATTTGACAATGACACAAAAAATATAAATGTCCTATAGGATATATATAACCTACTGTAGGATATAAAATATGCTACAGGAAATTTCCATATTAACAATGCTGACATCAGCGTAAAACATCCAAATTTTATCCTTTTTCTAGACGCCCACAGAGGAAACTGAAACCAGGCCAGTGATCGTCAGCGGCAGTGTCCATTCAGTCGCATCACCTCCACCTAGGCAGCCTTCCCCTGTGCACTCCCACAGCCCCGTAGTGCGCTCGGTGGAGGAGAGCAACGGCGAATTGTCTGCTCAGGGAAGCAGTCAGCTGCATGATGACAGTGCTGCACTGGATGAGGGCTTCATTAAGGTATTTCTTTTTCTAATAACATTTTAGATCACTTGTACTTGTGCATAGGATGTTGTCATGATGTCTGGTAAAATAATTTAGACTAACTGACTTTTCTGTGAGTAAGGAAAAAGATTAATTTTAAGGATAATTTAAAGTCGATCATAACAAAATTTCTAACATTATTACTCAGTAAAGAGGATATAAGCAGCCCATTACTTTTACATTTTTTATTCTTTTTAATTTATTTATTTTTCAGGTGAATTTGGTTTCAGTTCACTTCCCGGTTAGGTTTGTGCATTTCAGTTTAGTTTTTATTGCTTTCAGTGTTTCTTTTAGGGAATTTGAATTGTCATATAGGGGCCTTTTGTGGACAGGAAGTCAGACAGAGAAACTGCATAGAGAACACAGTCAATTTTCAAAATAAGACGCCTTGCCGGCTAAGTGAATGCTGTCGGCGACAGAGCTGACTTGCACTCGGAATGTTGCTGTCATGTACCAAAGGCTCTGGGCTGGTTTACACATTTCCTGTATATTTTTTACTTTAGTTCATTTTTGTACAAAGTAAAATAAAGTGTAGTTTATTTGTAATTCAAAAAATTTAGTTCTTATTCTAGCATTGGTTAACAGATTAAAGATCATACTGTCAATTATCCCGACTGTAGCATTTTCTGAAATATAATTTGGCTTACAAACACTATATATATTTGAATGCTGTTCTTTTTCAGTTAAGTTTTGCTCCGTTTCTGGTGTGCGTACGGATTTATGGTGGAGACATGGGGAGATGTCTCCTCAGAGGGGATGCAGTCTCAGAAGAAATGTCTCTGTGAGGAGGGGTATAGGAAATTAGATTGGAATAGGATGGCAGTCCATTTTTTTTTTACTCAAAATAGAATAAAAATGATATTTGTGGTCATTTCTGTATCCTAAAGAACATGTTGTAGTTTCTGATTTTTCAGTTGTACAAATGATCCTTTGGTTGAACTTTCTTATCCTGTTGGTTCTGCACAGTCCTGCCAAAATCTGCCATAACTCACCCCGACGTATCGCTCTGTAAGGAGACGAAAAGGTTCTTCTTGCACGTGTTTAGTGTTTAGTTTGTCACTTTTATGGTTTAGAGTCAGAGGTCGGGTTTAGGCCAAGCATGGGGAATGTTAGCCTGTGAGATGGAGCTGTTTTGGCCTCTGGTATCTGCTACACTGTTACCCCCCTGATTAATCACTCACGGTGCAGCCTGGAAACATTCAGTGAACTTCAGTCCTAACAGCTTCCCTTAAAGCTACTTGAAGCCATGTGGTCCAATTAAGGAGATGAAGGTTGCAGAGGTGTCCATCCTAATGAATAGAGCTAGAAAAGACCTTAAGGATAATGATAAAAAAAAAATCCTCACAATTTACCGAAGCCTTTGCTCATGTGTCCTATTTTTCTAAAGTGGTATTTAATTTATTCAAGCAAAGAATACGCTTTTGAAAGAACAAGAAAAATCCTGAAAAAAATCATCATTAAGCGTACTGGGCAGGTCGTCAGATCTCACCTTTTTGGGAGTAGTGTTAAAAGTGGTTTGGAGTAAGCAGTCTGAAGCACACATGGGTATTTTGATGGATATTCTGGTAGTTTCCGGGCATCTTTAGTTGTAGCCTTAGACACCTCACCAAGTCTGCACTTCTCTTACAGGTCCATGCATCAGATGAGGATGAAGAGGCCAGACAGGAGAACTACAATATGTTAAGAGTGTATATTTCTGAAAATGAGCACACTGACAGAGACAGGGAGGAGGAAAAAGGAGCTCCCTCTGAGGTACCTCAAGGCGCCAACTTCTCAGAGACAGAAGAAGTTGTGATTGGAGAAAGTGGCGAGTATGACTTGAATCCAGCAGGTCTCAGTTCTGGAGAGTTTTCAGCAGAAAGTCTCCGCGTTCTAAGTCGAAGAATCTCTGAGACTAATATTGGCCATAGCAGAGGAAGGGGAAGGGGGAGGGGTTTAAAAAGAAAAAGGTGGGTGTCATCTCAGGAGAAAAGACCTATAGGCATCACCCAACACCAGGATCTCTGGTATCTTACATCTGCTGGAGGTGGCTTTGGCCTGGACTACAGCCAAGAAGGACTGAGGGCATCAAGAAATATTGTCACGGTTGAGATCCCAGAGTTGGACTTCGGCATGGGCAGCACACAGGGGGAAAAGGTTTCACCGATACCCGCTAACAGTCTTAACCAGTTCTCCCTGGAAGAGTCTGCTTGTGGTGCTGGTGAAGGGAGTTCAGGGTTGACGACTGTTGGAACAAACGAAGGCAGCGATGAGTCGGTTGCCGTGGTGGGGTCTACTTCCAGCGTAGCTGGCCCTGTAATCTGCGAGCACTGCAACATGACTTTCCCTTCAGCCCATTCCCTCGCAATCCACTCCCGCTCCACTCACCTGCTCTATGCCTGCCCCTGCTGCGGGAAGCACTTCCACCACTCTACGAACCTCACCCGGCACATGGCCGTGCACAGAGGGGCCGGCAAAACGCACCAGTGCCCCCTGTGCTACAAGACGTTCACCCAAAAATCCACTCTGATAGACCACATGAACCTCCACAGTGGCGAGCGGCCTCATCGCTGCGCTTACTGTCACGCCCACTTTGCCCACAAGCCCGCCTTACGTCGGCACCTGAAGGAGCAGCACGGCAAAACCACGGGGCAGAACTCCCTACACGAGCAGGAGGAGAGGGAGAGAGCAAGAGGAGCAGCTGGGAGAATACGAGAGGAGGAGCAAGAATGTCTGGTTACTGAGTAATAAGTCTTGTTACAGACTTCAGGCTTGACGGCTTGTTGCAGTTACATTTGGTCTTCATGTGATCAGTGTCAACACAATGTGGAAATTAAGTGTGTGCTAAAAAATAAATGCCTTTACATTCTGGCTGCCAAATAAAAGACTTTTCACATATAGCTTTTTTTTTTTTTAGCAAAAAGGAAGAAAAAAAATGTTACTTGACATTATAGTAAAACACTGGTATAAAAATATCTGATGGCTCTGTTTAGTTTGTGACAATGAGTCTGCATGAACAATACCAGGACCCCGAAGCCAAAGCAGAGGAAATTTTAACAGTCCATATTTTTTATTATTCACACTTGTGCTTTTCCTACTGTGTAAAGTGTTCGTTTTAACATTGTTTTTGACTCAGAACTGCAGTCTTCAACTTGAATATGTTGTACGTGGAGTCAGCGCAGTGACTGACTGCAAGTCAAAGACTCTGTGAATGAGTGTAAATAAAACAGCTAGAGAGAAACTTCTCTGTTTCGAGTTACTGTTAATCCACTAAAACCCCACCAACACCTTTTTGCAAGGAGTAGCAAATCAGAAGAAAGTCAATTTGAAGGACAGGAGCTAAACTGGCTTATTGTAGAGCATGAGCTGAATGGTTGATAAGAAAGGGTTAGATTCATACAATTCTACTCCAGAAGAGTCCAAGAATAAAAAACATGAAGCTGACAATGAGGATAATGATTCTACTTTTTTCCATGAAAACAGATAGCAGGGCACATCTCAGAAGACAAGATGTTTCTTTCTAGAAGGTACTTTTAGAGTCAAAACTGAGTCATTTAATATATAAATTAGAAGTCACATGTTTTTTTTTTATATGAATGAGTGACCTACACAAAAGAAAACATTCACAAATACAATTCTTTTACTTTTTGAGCTCAGATGTGTAGTTTCACATGCAAAGCTGCATATGTAGCATTACATCCAGCCTAGAGTAACTACAATGCTCTGATCAAAAAGGCTACTGATAATCTTTTGTCTTCTACAAAGCACATGCAGCAGGTTAGCAGCTCAGAAACAGAGCAACAAAAACATGGACTTTTCATCCCAGGAAAAGATCTTCACTGTACACCACTTGGTTCCTTTTGTCCCGGTAGGAGCCTTTAGTGCTGTTCTGCACGGCTGTAAAGGAAAGATAGGGGTGACGGTTAATCCACGCTGTGTAGACACACAAGCTGTTTGATCAGTGTCTAAACGCACAATACGAGTGCTGTATTTACCCAGTGAAGCCCACACAGATTTGCCAGTGGCAGCGTCCAGCATCGGCTGCTTCCTGGCGATGCTGACTTTGATGTGAACGTCTCCCACCGTGGTTCCATTCAACTGTGAAACAAGAAACAGCAAAGCCAGTTCAGCCTTTTAGTCTGCTGTGTAGAAATAAACCAGGCGCCTGTAAAACTACAGCCAGTCTTTATCATTAAGTCATTATTGTGCTCTGATGAAGGCCACAAGGGCAAAGCGTCTGCATGTTTGTGGACATACCAAAGAGTCATATTTACTTTTCCCCCCCTTTAAATTAATAATTGGATTTTTTGGATGATTTCTTAGACTGAAGATGCTCATTTTTGAAGCCAAGCAGTAATCCGTATTGAGACCACCCAGGTAGCTGGAAGATATACTGTCCTCCCTGAGCTGCTTGTATTCAACTGAATAAGATAACTGTCCTTTGAAGGAGTTTCCAAATTCTTTAATCGTTTTAACCACTGTCTGGGCCACAGTATGATAACGTTATGCCAACTCGAGGGATCATGCTGACCATGCACCTAATCAAAGAAGATGTAAAGTCTTATTGTGGTACAGCTTTGCCTGTATTGCAATTTAGACATTCACCAAATCAATACCTGAAACAAAAAATACAAAAAAAAACAAACACAATAGACATAACAGCTGGGTGGCAGAAAGAAAGATGGCACCAACCTCAGCAACAGCCTGGTCTGCAGACTCCATCTTCTCAAAAGTGATAAATGCACAACTGGACAGAGGAACAAAACAGAAAAGGAAGAATAAATCATCGTTACACTATTTATATTACTGGATGAAAATGCAGGCAGAAATGACACTTATGAGCACACAGTTTTGTTTAAAGCCTCCTTACTTGCGTGGGTTGTCCATCGAGAGATCGATGATGTTTCCGTGTTGAGAGAAAGCCGAGCGCAGGCTGTCCTCGCCGAGCCCAGAGCCATAAACGTAAACGGTGTTCCCCTTTCGCACTCCTCTGCGCTCTGGGTACGAGTCTGACCCTGAGAGTGAAAAAAGCAGACAGGGACAAATCATAAACCAGCAATGTTTTTTTTAATGTAGCTTGTTTTTTATTCTTCCATAAGTATTACAGAAAAATTAACTAAAAAATAAGATAAAAAATTACTGGAGAAGTATGGAAGCAGCACTGTGTACAGAATAAGTGACTTCATTGTATTAACATGTACTTTTTGGTCAACACGTTTCCACAAACTAATTCCACTTTATAACTGCCAATAATTGGATTTGTAGCAAAGCTGTTCCCACAAAGCTTTCTAGAAGTACACAAACCAGGGCTATTTTTGGATCTTTTACGAATATCACAGTGGAAACCTCTTTAAACCTCTTTCAAATAACCACTTTGAAAAGAACGATGATCCAAAACACTGCAGCAAGAGCAGTGATAGGAATCCGAGAGAGATCATATTACTCTCCAGTTAGCTTCTCTTCACTTGCTCGAGAAAATGCAGACTAGATTAGTTTGTGCTCAGGTCTGGATCAGGTATTTTGAACAATCCCTCAGTTTTTAAAGCCCAAGGCTACTTGGGGACCTCCCACGATGAACTGAGCACCTACCCTCTCCTTAACTATTATATTAACACATCTTTTCTCTTCTTGTATCTTCCAACAGGTTTCTCTGACAGCATGTTCATAATCTTTGGTTAGAACTGGTTAGTGTTTCGTCTGTAAGGCAATCAGCCTTAAAATTTCTTAACCCCTAATTTGATTTTGACCTTTTGACACCTATCAATAAGATTAGAAATAAGCAGACTAGGTCAAGGATGAATTTGTAAACTCTTGACATAGTACATTACAAAAGATAAGCAAGCCTTGGCCAACCACATCTAAATAATAATGGGTTGCATTTATACAGCGCTTTTCGAGACCCTCAAATTGCTTTACAATTCCACTATTCATTCACCCTCACATTCACACACTGGTGGAGGCGAGCTACTGTTGTAGCCACAGCTGCCTTGGGGCAGACTGACAGAAGCGAGGCTGCCATATCACACCATCTGGCCAACACCGGTAGGTGAAGTGTCTTGCCCAAGAACACAACGACAAAGACAGACAGAGCTGGAGATCAAACCGGCAACCTTCCGGTTACAAGATGAGCTTCCCAACCCCCTGAACCACAATCGCCCCATCTGATTTTTTTTCTGAAGATATGGAAATAAAAAATGCAAAAAGACAAACATTAGGTCTAAAGTTCACATAACAGAAAATGGTTACTTACGTCTGAAGGGTCCATCTCTCTCTCTTTCCCGGTCTCGATCCCTGTCTCGGCTTCGGTCTCTGTCTCGTTCCCGTTCCCGTTCCCTGTCTCTTTCCCTGCCTCGGTCTCGATCTCTGTCCCGTTCTCTGTCTCTCTCCCTTTCCCGCTCTCTATCCAGATCTCGGTCACGGTCCCGCTCGCGCTCTCTGTCTCTCTCCATGTCCCGGCTGGATGACATGCTGCCTCCTTCGTCCTCATCCCGGTATCGGTCGCTTGAACTAACAAAGCTGCAGCAGAAAACAAAGAAACCAAGTTAGACCCACAGATACAGAATTTTGGCATATTAAACATGCTGTTCATTATGGATTTGGAATTTACCTCTCATACAGAGACTTCCTGTGGGCTCTTTTTCCAGACTAGAAGAAACCAAAAAAATATGACAATATTAAATTTAACAGAAACAAAGTGGTAAAGCAATGCTTAATGTCCTGTATTATACCTCAGGCTGGTCTTCATCTGTCGAGACACTCCTTTGGAATGGTAAGAAAGCAGGAACTGAGCCTTTTTCAGGGTCCTGTGAGACATGAAGAGCAAAAATCCACCACATGTGAGGAGGAGAGTTTAATAATAATTTCACAACTGCTCGTAGATGCCAGAAATAAGAATTACAGGTCATGCAATGTATTTACTGACATCCCACCTTGAGTTTAATTTCCAGCATTCGAGACCTTTTAAATCCAGAGTTTTTATTCTCAGATTTAATAGCACTGATGGCCCCTGACTTGATGAGCATCTTTGCTTGTTCTGTTGCTGTTGCAGTGTCAACAACAGGCTGGTCTGACAGTGCTTTGACAAAGAAAAGAAACAGACAAAAAAAAGTAAATAACAGTACAACCAGTGTTTAAAACAAGCCACTCCAATGAACAATAATAAAAAAAATACATGTCTTAGATTAGATCAAATATTCTACTGGTGTTATGTTTAAATTTTACAGTATAAACCTATGAGGCCCATATATGACAAGTCAGATTTTTCCAGTTATTGCTGGTGCTTCAGATTATAATGTTGATGTTTACTTCTATTAAAGCCTTATTATAAGAAAGACCAGAGTGATTGAGTCAAAAAATAAAATAAAATAAAAATCCAGCAGTTAGCTGGATGCACTTACTCCGTTTCAAGCCACTCTGGTTTGTCTGGTTGGTTGAACTCTGCTTTTTCAAAGCAACCAGTGCCTTTTTCTGAATAGAGAGGTAAAAAGTGTACATACAAAGCTTTATTTTAGTCTTCGGTATAGCTATTTTACATATTCACGTGTGTCTTCGATGTTGGAAGCGGGATGAAATGTTAAATCTCTGTATAGTGTAGCAAAGAGGAAGCTTATATTATGAAAAAGGAATGGTTTCCTGTTTGGAATGTTCCACAATTTAGTACAGACCAAAAACCTTACATACCTTTTTCTTGAGTTTAGCATATTTCTTTTGTAAAGCCTCCTCTTCCTCCGTCAGCGAGCTCGGAAACACCACCATGATGGCAATCACTAAAAATGCAGAAAACATGTTTTAATGAAAGAAGAAAAAAAATACTATTTTAAGAGAGGTAAACAAAAAATAACGGATTCCCCTATTGATTTACCACCACCAGCTGGCCACAAGCTAATTAGCCAGAATCCACAACTCGACTTCTTTCAGATAAAATAAAAAAACTGTTCACTCAATCCAGGCAGGGTGTAAATCAGAAGTCTACCTCGATATCAAGATACCAGTGAAGTCCTACAGGAGCGATAAAATAAAGAAATGTCCATTATTTGAATCTGTTTTAATCGCTTACCTGCTTCAAACAGTTGCAATGACTAATAGGAAGAATAACGCCGGCGCGTAAATGTGACGTTGTTCTCTTTATGTTTTGTTTTGTTTTTGCAAAAAAGTTTATAATATTATTTTAAAAAGTACATAAAACGATATTTCTAACTTATAAAACATTTTATCTTATAAAAGTCTTTGTAATATTTTTTTAAAGAATTTTATGTCTTTGCGTTTCAGTCGAGCAGTTTTTTGCTAGCCACTTCCGCTTGTCAATTTTGGCAACTTCCGTGGCCACTGCAGCAACTACTTTGTGGCAACTTTTAGCTTTCGTTAACGACTGTGGGGGCATGGATAGACTAAGTACGTTGTGGGTTGTAATTTGTCATGCCCGCTCCTTAAATAATTATAAATATCTAACTGTATTATGTTTATTTTTGGTTAACTAGCTCCATTGATGTAGCTTATGATGCTATGGCTAACAGAGTAGCTTCTTTCTGCACCCTCATAAAGCACAGATTTAATATTTAGCTAATCAGCAAGTAAGTGTGGTAATATCCGTTAAGCATTTACGGAATAAATACGACCAGATAAATGGTTAATTTAACCTGACAGTCTTTTTCTTCATCTTTTTAATGCAGCCTGCGTGAATGTGTGCTTGCTCATCCATTCAGACTCTTTATGTTGTCTCTCTGCAGATGTGCCCCCTCCGGGCCCCATGGATCTGCCCATGTCCCTGCTGGAGATGGGATGCTCTGGCAGGTTTGAGCTTATCACACACCCCGTGCCCGGCCAGTCTTTACCTCCACATAGCACGGTCAGTAAGGAGTAAGATACTGTTTACTCATACTATTTTAGCTAAGTTGTAGTCCAATAAAATGATTTGGTCTGTGTTACAACCTAATGTAAAGGATTAAGAATTCTTCAACTCAACGATAATGGCATGCTTCCGGGCTTGTGATTGGAAATCACTGATGCCGTTGCAGTGGAGCTTTTTAAGACTAAAGCCCTGTTCCCTTGTATTATGATTATGCACTGTGAGTGAAAACCTATGTAGACCTACTTTTTCCCCATTCTGAAATAAACACGGGAGTAGATACAAATCGAGGGGTTGACCCAAAGACTTTAAAATATTTAATTTATTTGTTTCCTAATGAGAATTACTTTAGATACAAGAAACAAAATAAAAACAAAAACAAATAAAGCCAATCCTTGTACAATTGCTTTACCCATACATTTTTGTATTCAAGTCACCTAATCTAGCACATTTAGCTTCTTCAGAACTTATTCAAAGTGATGCTTATTAAAATTTCATATTATCTAAGTGACTTAACATTATGGTTTAGTTTCACCTTAGCTGATTGCTTATATTAAATAAGATTTTATTGTGTTTTATCTTTGGGGGATAGTTGATGGTGTTCATTTATAACTTATGTAAATATAGGGGAATTATTTGACTTGTTTTGTTTATGTGGCTCTTCAGGATGTCTCTCTGATCTCTTTTTTTTTCCATCCACAGCTCCCTCACGGGCTTCCTCCCACAAACCTGAACCTGGAGACAGAAGTAGAGAAACAGTTTTTAAGAGACCCTGCATGGCTTCCTATACACGACAAAGACTTTGCCTTCCAGAAGTTTCTCAAGTATTTATGTTTGTTATATTGCTAATTAAAAAAAACACTAATAGGCATATTTATTGATTTCACTAAATAATTAAGAGAGTTTCTTGACATCATTGCTTCCTGAAATCTAACGTGTCTACGGGGGGAAAGTCAAATCTGATATTGTAATTATTATTGGGTTAAAATCAACATATGTTTAAAGATGTGATTTTTGTGTGTGTGTGTGTGTGTTGCTGTTCTCATCAGGGTGACCCAGAGGAAGGTTGACGTTGACTCTCTGCTCAACTGTTGTCCATCTCCGCTTCACTCGGGACTGTCTGTTGTCAGAGATCCAACCACAGGAATGCTGCTGGACTTCACTGAGGTAACGTGGCAACATTTTCCTTATTAAAATAAAATCATTATTGTCAAATCATTATTGAACCTGACAAAGAGTATCTTATTGTTTATTAAAAGTGCTTTGCTGTTTCAGCTTTAAATATTTGTTGTTATTTTAAATATGTGGTTCATTTTAATACTTGGATCAACTTCTTTTTTTTGGAGATGCCTTACTCTCTGAGAAGTTTAATTTGGCTTTTTCACCCTAAAAATGGTCTCCTTCACATTCTTCAGCATCTCTTTAGGCTTTTTAGTGATCCAGTGAACAGCTACCAAATGCAAGCCCAACTCTTGGAATCAACCCCAGAGCTTTTCTCTTATTTAATGTGTCATGGAAGAATGAAGGAACAGGCCTGACCTAATCATAAAACTGCTTGTCAATCAATTATCCAGTTTCTTTTTAGCCTATGAAATTAGAGGACTGTGTATTAAATGGCTGTAATTCCTTAACAGTTAAAACTTTTGTTAAACTCCTTGAATTAAGCCAAGTTTGCTTTTCGATCAAATCTTGATTGTTTGATTTGAAATTCACTGTGGTTGTGTATAGCAACTGTGTCATTGGTCAAAACTTTACATGCATATTTCTATACATATTTTTCAAGACTGATTTTATCCATTTTGGAAAAAAATAGATCTTTTAGATTTTAGGGCCACCTAGATTTAATTTAAAAAACAAAAACAAAATTTTCACACTCAAGTTGTCACTATTTTTCACTTCTGCTTTTATCGTCAGATCTGTTTGTTCATATTGAAGAGTCAGAGTCTAGCAGCAGGTTATCATTATGGTCCTGCGCATTATCACTGTAATCAAAGGTTGGCTTGATTCATTTCATTTTGGGTCTATATTCTTTCTTCTTCTTTTTTTCACCTGTAGGTGTTACTGGAGAACACCGGCCTGTCTGCAAAGAACTCGCTGTCATTGCAGCGCCAGCCTGGGCCTCCTTCTGAAAGCCTTCGAGGAAGCAACACCAACTACCCGTTCCTCCCCGGTGAGATTCTTTCATTCATTCAAAGCATTTTTTCTTAGTGATTTCCTGTATCTTTCTTTAGTTCAGATGTCGAAACTGAGGAGTTTTGTTATCTATTAATATTCTTGTTGTTATTGTCACAGGAGGAATGGAGGAACTGACGCTTGAACAAATCAAGAAGAAATCTGAGCTGGAGGAGGAAATTGACTTTGAGAGTGGTGATTTTTTTCCCTCTTTTAAGCAGGATCAACGTAAAATAAAGTCAAACATATTTTATTATTTTACCTCTTAGAGTTTGAGTTTGTCATTACTCTTTTATAGCTTTACTGAAGGTGGCCCCTGGACTGAAAGCTGGGATGGACTTTACTGACAAAGGTTAGAACTCAGACTGTCCCAACAAAAAAAAAATACTACATGGTCTAAAAGTAGATAAATTAATGATTTTGTCTTTTTAAAATTGTATCCTGAAGATGCCAAAATAGCGAAGCCAGAGGTCAACCTCATGTCGCTCCTGTCTACCGTGGAAGGCATTAGTGGTTTGCAGCTTGAGGAGAAGGAGAAAGACAAAGAAAGTGAAGATGCCCCCAAACTACCACGAACAAACAGTCTTGAAGACCTGGGCATCAAGGTACATCTTTTATTTCAGATATCTGGTAAAATGCTTTTCTTCAGATTATACTCCCTGAAATGAATGACTGTGAATGATAAATATTAGTGCAATATCTTTAAGTAAATATAGCAAACAGCTCGATTAAAAATGTGAAGGTTAATATGATGGGAGAAGTTTTACATGTGGTCAAATTCGCCTGTGTTGTGTATTGAGATGGTTCCCACCCAGCAAACACTCAGTGAAAAGGAAGTTTTGCCCGACATCTTAATGCTCAGGTTTGGTTCGAAGGTGAAAACTTAGATCTTGAACAAACATTGAAAAAAGAAAAGTGGTTGCCTGTTAGCCAACCAGTAGACCTGAACCCAGAACCTTCTTCCTCAAGGCAGCAGTACTACCAAACGTAACTTCTACCACAGTAACACGGTGCATCCCACAGTGAGACATAACACTTTTAGAGATGTCATTTACATGTAGATGCATGTAAAGGGCAAATATGTTTCTTGACCACAGTCATTATACAATCAAATGAATGTCGTATTTGCTTTTTTTAAAAACATACTGCCTGATGTCACGTGGACGTCTGACAACCTTTAAACAAAGTTTTGATATACAGGTTGGGTTTTTTATGCATTGAGCATAATTTAGTTCTCCACCAAAGGAGATTCACCTAAAATGTAAGAGGTGCCATTTACTCAATTAACTTGAAATGGATTCAAACACATGGAGATCTGTTGAGTAACATACTCTTACATGTGTATCACCAACCCTCAAAAGCCGGTTTTAAACAAGGAGAAACCCTGAAGATGAATTCAAACACAGACCGTTTGAAAATGAATGAAAAATTTGAAATATGGGAAGCAAGTTTGGTATCAGGCATGAATGCGTTCTTTTATTCTTTCTTTGAATTGTACCGAGTACAATGCAATTTTATTTATATAGCACATTTAAAACCAGGGAGTACACCAAAGTGCTTCACAGTAAGGAATAAACAGTAAAATGATTACACTGAACAGTAAGTCATTAAAACAAGGTAAAATAGCAAAAACAAACAAAGGCATTAGTAAGTAGGGATAGGGAGAATTCACGATAATCCAGAGAAATGAGTAACGATACAGAAATTAATGAGCGGTGACAATCAGCATGTCGGAAAAGCCAGGTTTTCAAGCATGCTTTAAAGGACCGAATGGAGTCAGAGGCACGAATGATAGCAGGAAGAGTATTCCATAGGTTTGGTGCTACTGAGGCAAAGGCACGATCACCCCTAGTCTTCAGACGGTGCCCGGGCTGGGCCAGAAGTAACTGACCAGATGATCGTAAAGAACGGCTGGGAGTATAGAGACTGAGGAGGTCGGTGAGATAGTCAGGAGCACGGTTGTTTAGTACAGTATAATATTCCTATAATATACCTAACACTACTGCCCACCATCACATTTCTCTCCCTAGAAGTTAATTTTAAAGACCATGACTGTCCAACTAGATTTAGCCCAGAGGCTAATGTACATGAGCTTGTGGTGCTCAGTGAGTTGCAGTTCTTTGTTGTCATAGATGCAGAAAGAAAAGACGAGAGGTAAAATCTGGAAATCCTTCTCTCCTGCATTCATCCTTTAATTGTGGTGTTGATAAAGCTATTTTCAGTATTTAGTTCTGAATTTAATTCAGTTTTTTTCCAGTGCAGAATTTGTAAAAATAAATGCTGCTATTCGCATAGCAGGAAACAGACATTAAAATAAAAGAAAATTGATGTGAGTTAACTGTCGAGTGTTGCTAAATATGAACAGCTTTGTTTCCTTCTCCTCTGCCTGCAGGATGCTGCGTCATCCTCGTCTCCTCCAGAGAAAGGAAAAGAAGAGAAATCAAAGCTAAAAGAGAACACAGAGGAAAACAAGAAATGGGCCATTCCTGTGAATATAACATCACCCTGCGATGACTTCCACAAACGCATCCCAAACCCAGCTTTCAAGGTTTGGGTTCAACATAAAAAAAAATAAAATCCATTTGTCTTATTTTGATATTTTCACCTCTCTCTGTTGCTTCTCTGAACACGGCATGTGGTGAGCTGTTAAGTGAAAACCTTTTTCTTTTTTTCCTGTTTCTCTGCTGCAGTGGCCTTTTGAGCTCGATGTTTTCCAGAAGCAGGCCGTGCTGAGGCTGGAAGCTCACGACTCCGTGTTTGTGGCCGCGCACACGTCTGCTGGAAAAACAGTGGTGGCCGAGTACGCCATCGCTCTCTCACAGAAACACATGACGAGGTGTGTATTTGTGCACAGCTCAGAGGTGAGCTAAACCCTTTTTCAGTACAAGCTGTAAGACAGAGGTTGTTCTTGTCTCCAAGGCTGGAAAAGAAGCAAGAAACACTAATGACACGAGACAGCTGTGACTCACAGCTCACATAGTTGTCTGCCGAAGGTGGTTTGATCCCCAGCTCCACATGTCACATCATTGGGCCAGATACTGAACCCCAAATTGCTCCTGATGAAAGTTCTACATGTGTAAAACATGTGCTTCATAGGAATAAAAAAGCACTATATAAATACTTTTTAAATACGAATACAAATGAATACGTTACAAAACCACTGATATCTCTACACCAGGAAGAAAGAAGACAAGATGAACTTAATTCATGTACTTAAAATGAAAGTACATAAATCCCCAGTAAAGAATGGAACAAGCTGGAAATGCTCTGCTGCGACATTTTAAATTATAATATACAATAATAATATATAAATAAAACAGTACTTTTAATCATACGGACGATTCACTTGAGATTCACAATTCACGATGTCACCTGAGCCACTGCTGACATTTGACTCCCGATCATGTAGCTTTGAGGACAGTAAACAAACACAGACAGATTAAAGTGACATAACTAAATCATAAAATAAATAGTAAAAACTTACTTTTAATATTTTAACTCATTCACTGCCATTGACGTCTATAGCCGTCAATTGCAGTGAATGAGTCAATGGGTTTAACTCATTCACTGCCAATGGCTGGCAGTGAATGAGTTAATAGCAGGAGTCTCACCATTAGGTAATGATAGAGTGGTTATATTATGGCTAAGTTTCTTATTTAAGGTTTACTTCAAACTGTTCTGTGGCAGATGATTAACATGACTTAGATTCAAATAAATAAATATTACACCCCAGAATAAAAGCAGCTTTTGTTGGCACTTTCACAGTCTTTGTTATTCTGACACAACCACTAGGTGGCACAAAAGTCAAATACTTTGCGTTTCCAAACATTTACACTGTTTTCCTTCCTATCCAATGGATGGCTGATACTTGGTGACTTATATTTATCGACTGGTGTTTGTTTTTTAATTTTTCTATACTTAATGCAGGAATCGATACATTTAACATATGTAACCCTTTAATCTGAAGTCTGTTACTGCTTGTTGTTATCATCTGTTACCTGACAGTGAGGCAAGTAACAGGTTTTGTATAACGGGTAAACAGCTGTTTAGTGTTGTGGTCGAACATAAAGTTTTTAATGTCATTATTTTGTTCTTGTTTGGCATTATTAGACTTCACAGTCTGTAGTCTTCTAATATATATATTTAATACATAATTAGACCTATAACATCCAGATTAAAGTGTTTTTTCTTTGCAGAGGTTTATTAGAGGTTTATTTTCCTCTCTCTCTCTCTTTCTTGTGTTTTTAAAGGACCATCTACACATCTCCTATCAAGGCTCTGTCCAATCAGAAGTTCAGAGACTTTAAAAACACATTTGGGGACGTTGGACTCCTTACGGGCGACGTCCAGCTCAGTCCTGAGTCGTCCTGCCTCATCATGACCACTGAGATCCTCAGGTGCTCGGACTGTTTGTTGTATATATTAGAAGCAACGTATTCAGTAGAGTAAAGTTTCTAGATTGCTCCGTCCTCTCCCCTCTCAGGTCTATGCTTTACAACGGTTCAGAGGTCATCAGGGACTTGGAGTGGGTGATCTTCGACGAGGTTCACTACATCAACGACGCTGAGGTCAGGGAGCGCTCCCACGGATTCATTTTTTTCCAGCTGATTTTCGAGGTTAATTGACTTTCCTCTCGTGTTTGCTTTCCTCAGAGAGGGGTTGTGTGGGAGGAGGTTCTGATTATGCTTCCCGATCACGTCAGTATCATTCTCCTCAGCGCCACAGTGCCAAACGCTCTGGAGTTCAGTGAGTGGATCGGGTAGGTGCACCACGCTGACAGCAGCCACTGAGCATTAGAGAGCTAATTGTGGAGTGGTGACAGTGGCTGCAGTCGGTAATTCTCCTTTAGAAATCTGCTCTCGCACAAAACGATTCAAAGCAAGACTTCAGCTTCCGCCATTAATTGCATTTCTCTGTCTCGCCCTTATTATTGTTTTTTGTTTTTTTTTTACTCCAGTCGTATTAAGAAGAGGCACATTTATGTGATCAGCACACTAAAGAGACCCGTGCCCTTGGAGCATTATCTGTACACGGGGAACAGCACCAAGACTCAGAAAGAGATGTTCCTGCTGGTGGATGCTACAGGAAACTTCCTCACTAAAGGGTACAGCTTCGCCGCGTGGTGCTTCCCTAGTTAATAATTTCTTGAAGTTGTTTCTCAAAGAGGAAGTTGTGTTTCTTGTTCAGATACTACGCAGCCGTTGATGCTAAGAAGGAGCGCACCAGCAAACATGCTCAGTCATTTGGCACAAAAAACACCTCTCAAAACACCACCGCTAGTCAGGTAATTCTCTTTTGTCACTATTTTGCCTTTTGATTTCTCTCCAAGTCATCCTCTTATTTCCTGTTTTCATCCATCTCCCTATTTTTTTATTATTTGCTTCACCCCACAGGACCGATCAGTGTGGCTCACCCTGCTGCACTTCCTGTCCCAGCGGCAGCAGACCCCGGTGGTTGCGTTCACCTTTTCTCGAACACGCTGTGACGAGAACGCCCGCTCGCTGGACTCCATGGACCTAACCACCTCCATAGAGAAGGCGGAAATTCACTCTTTCTTCCAGAAAAGTCTCACTCGCCTCCGAGGAGCAGACCGGCAGCTGCCTCAGGTAACGAGCAGTCAGCAGGGGCCCTGCTTTTCCTCTCCCCCAGACTGTTAATACAGGCTGCTTTCTGAATTGTGATGAATGATAATTTCTTCTTTTATATGAGTATTTAATAATCATCTGGAACAAAAAGCTCCCCTAGGTACAATATATTCATCATAATAATGAAGGCATATAAAAAGATTTGCTATTCTGGTGTGCAGTTTCACTGCAGCATATGCACAGACGTCGTTAGTTTACATACACTCAACATGGACATGAAAGAATATGCATAATTAATTTATTTCCGTAAATACAATAAATTTTAATTTGAAAATGACTGATTCTTTGTGCATTTTAGGATTTTAGACTTTTCTTAAACAGCGGCTTAATTTGCAGCACACTTAAACTGACTTCCAGTCAAAGATTTATGGTGTTTTGCCCACAATAGAACATGTTAATGTAACATTAAACTTGTCATTGGGGTCTTCTTTTAGATCTTGCTCATGAGAGACCTGTTGAAGAGAGGAATCGCAGTCCATCACAGCGGGATCCTGCCAATCCTGAAGGAGGTCATTGAGATGCTTTTTTCCAGAGGCCTCGTAAAGGTGAGCGTGACTGGAAGTTGAAACAAAGCTATGATGCTAATGTGGCTTGGACCACAGCTGTGTTTGAAATCATGCTTTTGAAAATATTGGTGCAACACACACTAGAGGATGTTATTGAGATTATTGTGGCAGAGGGAGCAATGCACCACACTTAATACATAAGTATTAATGGTCTCATGGGGTGCAGATGTTAATCTGTGGTGTAACCACCTGCACTAATATCGTCAGTAACGCTGCAGTGAGGAAAAAACTAAAGTTATGCACAATTAGCGAATCAGAGAATTCTGTGAAAACAAATATGTATCTTAATATCAAGTGCGTCTTTTTCTTGGAATTTGTTTTCTCAAGCAAATCTGTGATGATCAGGTGGGGAAGTATTTGATGGAAATGACTTGGAATTTCTCTGTAATAGCTGTGGTCAGAAAAGCGGATGATGGTTAGTGAGCCTGCAGGCTGAATCTTGGATGAGATGTAGCTACAGGGCTTGTTTTCTCTTTGGAAGAATGAGATCAGAGGAAAAAGAGACAATTTTGTGCTGCAACCCCACCTATTTGCTACACTCACCTTCATTTGCAAATAAAAATAGCTCTACCAGCTGTCTGCATCTTCCCTTCCTCTCCCAGGTGCTGTTTGCCACCGAGACCTTTGCGATGGGAGTGAACATGCCCGCCAGGACCGTGGTGTTCGACAGCATCAGGAAACATGATGGAACCGGCTTCCGAAATCTGCTGCCAGGTTTGATACTCTCCATCTCAGCCGCCATCACTAATGCTTTCTAGTCCTTGAGGATAAATTGTAGCTGAGGAAAAACAAGCATTTTGAGACCTGTGCTCATGCCATGAACCATATTTTTAGGTGAGTATATTCAGATGGCGGGCAGAGCGGGCCGGAGAGGTTTGGACGCCACGGGCACTGTGATCATTCTGTGTAAAGCCGGCGTTCACGAGATGGCGGATCTGCACGTCATGATGCTGGTGAGGGCCGCAGCAGGGTTTCATTTCATAACATCTACCTGCCGCGTGGGTTTATACATCGTTCCACTCAAGTCTCTCGGTACCCATCTCTCCACATCTAAAGCAAAGCTGCACCGCTTGTTTATTTTGGCTGTGATTCAAGGAAGGTGTTGCACGCTCCGTTATTCATTTAACATTTAATTACACAGTTGAGTGGGCTATTTTAACACAGTCTCCCTCTGTGCCAGTTTGAAAAGCACTGCTTTGGGTTCAGTGTGGAACTGAAACACAAATTGTGTTTTTTATCCTTTTTTCTTTCATGGATGCTTTACTTTCTTTTGTAAATGTAGAAAGCCAGAGCCTCCTCTTCTACAGATGGTGCAAAATTAAATAGGCTGTGGTCTTTTTTTCACAATATTTCTGGACTTTCAAGGCTGATATTAATTTTTGAGATGTACAGTGCTGTGAAAAAGTATTTTCCTCTTTCCTATATTTGTTGGTTTGTTAGTTTCTTTTTTGCATATGTTTCATATCATTAAACAAATCCTAATATTAGGCTAAGATAACCCAAGTAAATACAAAATCTGCTGGGGTGAGATCAGGCATACGCTGGGTGGTGTGGCTGTAAGCAATTACAAAGTGTTATGCTTTAAAAAAGAAATCAGTGGCGTCAGTAGATGAATTGGAATCAGAGCAGTTTTGATTTTCTAGCTTTAGAAAATGGTTTGCATCCCATTTCTGTGCTGACTCTTCTTCCTGTGTGTCTCCCTCAGGGTAAGCCCACCCTTCTCCAGTCCCAGTTCAGACTGACTTACACCATGATCCTCAACCTGCTGCGAGTCGAAGCCCTCCGTGTGACCGACATGATGAGGAGGAGCTTCTCTGAAAGCCACAGAGATACTCAGGTAACATTTACAGCTTCATTGAATTGTTGCTCTGTAACATGTTTCCTGTCTAAGAGCAGCTGAGAAATGTTTCTTTTTCATCTGTCTTGCTGCTGCTGCTGCAGACCCACGAGAAGAGGATCAGCCAGCTGAAGCAGATGTTGTCCGCTGTGCCCTCCGTGGACACAGAGGGCCAGCTCTCTGACCTGTTGCCTTACTACCACACGGTCACCGAGCTGAAGAAAACCACAGAAGCAGTCCAGGTAAACTCGCACATATTCAGAATCACGATTACATTCATACAGCTTTAATCAGCTGCTTGTTTACCTTTATCATTTCCTCCCCGTCTCAATCTCAGCACGCTATTCTGGAGTCTGTGAATGGGCTCAAGGCTCTCTCAGTGGGTCGAGTCATTGTAGTTAACAACAAACAGCATCTCAACGCCTTAGGAGTTATCCTACAGGTAGGTGTATATTCAGTGTGACACCCAACCACAGCTATTCTGTGACACCAGGACTATTTGGGGTCATATTATCTGTTTCAGAGCAGATACTACTTGTGGATGAAGACGGTTTTGTGTGACTGTGGATGCATGAGCAATCAGACACTTACCTGATTGTGCTGTGCAAAAGATAAAAACCTAAAGAGGGGCTAAATCTTACATAGGATTTATTTCATAAAGAAAAGAATAGCTTATTTGTGTAGAATTATGTAACAGTGGCAATTGACAAGTGAAATAAATAATCAGATTTTGTATAAAAATGCAAACTAGGATTAAAAAATGGCTGATTATTGAGCGAAAAGTGAAAGTTGCTAGTTTGATGCATGTTTCATTGTCGTTAATTCCTCCAGTGAGATGAATACACAGAAAGTAAACAATAACCTAAAATCATCTGGTTTCAAATTCTTTGCTCACACAAATAAAATTTAAAAAATTGGTACCAAAGACGTTGTTTTGCCTAAAAAGAATAAATAAAACGGAACTATTAATCAGGCTCTTCAGCTCTGTTGTTTTTTTTCTAATGAAGTTTGTGTTATTTATAGGTTGCTTTGGTGCTTAGATGTTCAAAGTCAGTACATTACTTTTGTTTTATCTGCTCAAATTAAGGCTGAGGGTCTGTTCTTTGAAATACCCGTGTTTTGTGAACCATGTACGGACCGTATCCTATGTGCTGAGTTTGCTCTCTGTTGACAGTGGCTACTGCCTATTAGATCAACTCTGGGCTAAAGTGGAGGAATTAGTTGATGAACATCGTGGCAAAAGGAAAATGGGAAAATGTTATGGACAGTGAGACAATCAGAAAGTGATACAGAGTCACAAAGAAGATTTTTTTCTTAAATAATATTGTCGGCGATGTTGAGCTGAACAAGTCTCCATATGAGCTCTGTGCCCAGCCTCTGGTCTCACTGGTGAGACAGGTGACATAAAAGCTGAACGGGTCACCAGTAAAAGAGGAAATGCATCCAGACGCTCATTCTCAGCAGAGGGTGGTGTAGAGTTTCTGCGTCACCCAACCTGCATGTGTTTGGATTGCCACAGATCTCCCTCATGTGTGAACAGTGTACAGTGTCCTTGCTCCCGTATCGTTCTCTGACTTTTCTCTGTGCGTCAGGTGTCCAGTGCCTCTGTGAACCGCACCTTCACAGCCCTCATCATCTGTGAGAAGGGCAACGAGGAAGGAAAAGGCAACGACAACGCCGCTCTGCCTCACCTCCACAACACGTCTCTCTTCATACCTGAAGGTGAGGAGGTGGGGTTAGCTGCAGATGCTAGCCAGCTCTGTGTGATCGCTTTCACGAACCACTTTTCAATTAGTTGATGTAATTAATTTTCTGTTTTGCCTTTAACGTTCATCAGGCCCCTGCAGCCACACGGTGCAGAAGTTGAAGCTTCAGGACATCTCAGCCATCACGGTGAAAACCCTCAAAGTGATTCCAGAAAGGATCATCGATAATTACAACAAGAGGCAACAGCCACGATTCAAGTATGCATTTGTTGTCTTTGTCGTGATTTAAGAACTTTATTTATTTTTCTAATGAGGATCCTATTTCAACAGCGTGAAACGGCGTGTTATACTGCCATCAGAAGATGGGTCATAAGGGATCACCATGATCAGCAACAATGTTTAGTTGGTGCTAAGAAGCCAAAAATGTGCCAAGAAAATATCTCTCACATGCTTTCATGTTATATACCCCAAATTCTGACCCGACTATGTGAATGTTGCAGGAAGAATCAAGACTCATTATACCAGGCAACATTTTTCCTGGTTGAATTGTAACCTCAGTTTGTCACCTGCTCCGAGGTTTTAATAAGTTGCCCATTCATAGGTGCTCTTCTGCATACTTTGGTTGTAGTTAGTGGTTATTTTAGTTACTGTTGCCTTTCTATCCGCCTACAAATGGTTGTGTGGGAAAGTCCTGGGAGACCAGCAGTTCTGAAATACTTCAACCAACAACCATGTCACGTTCAAAATCACTTTAATCACATTTCTTCCTCATTCTGATGCTTAGTTTGAACTTCAGCAGGTTGTCTTGACCATGTCTACATACCTAATTCCACTGAATGTCTGCCATGTGATTGGCTGATTAAATGTTGGCATGTAATATGTAGCTGAATAGGTGTACCTAATGAAGTAGGAGGTGAAAATATATACATTTGTCTAATTCTGTTGCTGGTTGTGCTTCATAATTACATATCTTTATTGATTTTCTTTTGTATTTTCTTTTATTTTTAGCTGGTTTTTACTGTGTTTTTTGTTCTCTTATGAAAGCGACAGTACAGATATTGACAGGGTTTACAGGGAGAAATGAAAAGGGCCTCATCACTCTACCAGATGGATTGCCACCTTTTCTTTTTTGTCACTGCTATAGTTTAAAAATATCTGGCCTTTTTTGTTGTTGTTGCCATTTTCTTGTATTTCTCAGATCAGTCTACACTGTCAAGCTAAAAATCTTCATCACTTCCCTTTGTCCTTTAGGCTTGACCCTCCTGGTCAAGCCATCTCCACGGCGACACAGGAGCTGCTTCGATTGGCAGAGGCTAACCCTGGTGGCATAGCAACCCTTGACCCCGTCAATGACCTCCAGCTGAAGAGCGTTGATGTGGTGGAGGCCAACATGAGGCTCCGTGTGCTGCAAGACAGCCTCAGAGATTTCAACTGCATCCACTCACCCATGTTCGCAGAGCAGGTGTGTGTCTGTGTGTGTGCGTGTGCGCGCGACAGTTTTTAAAATATCCTGCAATGAGAAAAGTGTCTCAGCCCGAGTGTTTGCTCATAAAGAAAGAAAATCACATTTATTTTGTGCAGCAGTTACACATCTATGCAGCTAATTAACATCCTTACATAAGACCGGCCCCCCTCCTTGATAGCGTCTCTCGTTTCTCCCTTCTCACAACACCGCCAGTTTCTTTTTATCCTTCCAATTTTTCCCCCCTGTTCTAATTTCACAATAATAACATCAAACTCAAAAACCAGATCTCTGCTCCTGTGCCGTCTCTCCTGTCTTCCTGGCAGCTTCATTGGGGAGATAAGATGCAAGAATCTGAGCTGACTGCTTCTATAATTACCCATATAGGCTCATAGCTGCAGCTCATCACTGTCTCACAGGCACAGCGTGTTATTTGAGCCACCAATACACACACACACACACACACACACACACTCTCTCTCATTACTCTGCAAGATAACAAGCTCTTACTTGCAGTATCAGTGTCTCCTGTTATCACTGCACATTCACACTTCCTTATGTCTTTATTCAACCTTGTGGGTAATAAAAATTGGCGGTGTGGAGATCGTCCTCAGTGGTTTAAAGCTGCGTTAGCTAAAGATGCGTTAATGAGAGTACAGAAGTTTTTTATTATCTTCTTCTCTGTTGAATTCACTGGATTTAGGCCAAGTTCTGCTGTTTCATTTCTCAAATTGAGTATCCTGTGTGTCTGTGTGTGTCAGTTTGCTCGGATTAAGGAGAGGATGAGCCTGCAGGAAGAGCTGGACCAGCTCCTCTTCCTTGTGTCGGACCAGTCTCTGACTCTGCTGCCAGAATACCACCAGAGGATCAAGGTTTGGATGAGAGTCTTTATCCTGACGCGTTTCTGTCCGTTGGCAGAAAAATGAATCACCGGCTATTTTTATCAGTCAGTCATTTACTGAGTAAAAAAAAAGTGTAAAGACCTCTCGGTTGCTTCTCAGATCGGAATATTTTCCTCTTCGTCATCTTCCTGTGTGATCGTAGGTCTATGAATTATTGAATTTATAATACCTTTAGACATAAAAAAAAGTTCCCATCACAATTTCCCAAAAGTCAGAGTTTGCTTAAATGAGGTTTTTGATAATCTCAATAATTCCCAAGACATCAGAAGTTTGCTACATTGTCCTCGATTGAGTCCAGATGGGATCTGTGCTGCGTTTGTCTTTCTCTGCTGATTATGTCTCTAATAAAAGCATTAAAATGGGTGAAAAAAATTTACAAATATTTAATTTAGAGACAAAGAAAGGAGCTAATATTTAAAAATGACCTTATGCTAACAGTGATGCTAACAAGCTGTTTATTTTTGCCATTATAGAATTTAGTATTAACATGCATATGTTTGCTATTCAGCACTTAAAGCAGACTCTACCCACTGTGCTGTCACAAGAGAAGCAAAATTCATCCTCTAGGTGGCGCTTGAGGAAAAAAATTATTTAAAAGTGACAAAGATTCACCGCCTCATCACAGAATATGATCCCAACAGTTGAATCAGTAAATCAAAGTACAAATGTTATACAATGCTACTTTTGGCTCCACAGGTGGAATCGAACCAGCACATCTGGAATCGAACCAGCAACTTGCTTGCCAAAGAAATGTGGGACAGCCCTAAGTATTATATATATTAAAGAGCTGGTTTGAGGCAGTAAACGAGCTCAAAGCGTTCAGCTGCACGTTCAGTAATGGTGCACACACTCGGCCATTTGCATGAGCTCTTTGTCAGGTGATGGAGGATCCAGTCATCCTCATCAGGACATTGAACCAATAAGGAACTCCCTCAGGCTCCCTTTGCAGTAAAATGTCTGGGATTGCACCACCTTTCAGTCACAGCTAGTGCAATCCCTCCACATTTCTTCTTACGCCTCAAATTTCATATCAGTGAGATTTTTCAGTCTGGACTCAAGTTGTTGAATGCTTGACATTTTTTATCTGTTAGCATAGTTTCCCAGGTTTTAGTAGCACTTTTTCCTTCAAAACTCCACAAAAATAAACAAACTCAGAGGTTTATTTTCCTCGCCGGCCTCCCTCAGGTCCTTCAGTCCCTCCAGTACATCGACAGCGGCGGGGCAGTGCAGCTGAAAGGCCGCGTAGCCTGTCAGATCAGCAGCCACGAGCTGCTGCTGACGGAGCTTCTGTTCGAGAACGTCCTGAGCCCGCTGGCGCCCGAGGAGAGCGCCGCCCTGCTGTCCTGTCTGGTCTTCACTCAGAACACCCAAGTGGAGCCGCACATCACCAACACGCTGCAGGAGGTGAGGAGGCAGAGGAGTTTTTTTTCCTTATCACTCACTCACACACAAACACTCACATCACGTGACACTGTGCACATTTGATGAACAACGTCCCGCAGGAAGGACGGCGAGGGCACGTCACCTGACTCACCCCAGTCACTCCCTCACTTTGAAATCACTCGCCGAGTCTTTTGCTTAAACACGAAGGAGCTTTATGGCAGCCTGAATTAGTGATGACTTAAGTAGCAGTGCAGACACTAGAAGAGCAGAAGTACAGCGACGCGGTTTGTAAAGCAGGTTCATAATGTCCACACTGAGAGGCGGGAGAGCGAGTCACTTGTACCTACATGATCAAATCCGGCCACCAGCTAAACTCAGCATCCCGATATTGTCCTTTTTCTCTACCAGGGCATCGAGCAGGTGAAGTCGGTGGCTCAGCGCATCGGAGAACTGCAGCGGGAGTGTGGGATACCGCAGACGGCTGAGGAGTTTGTAGGCCAGTTCAAGTTTGGCCTCACAGAGGTGGTTTACTGCTGGGCCAGGGGAATGGTGAGGTTTAACACTTTGTTGGGCTTTATTTGACCCCAGTCACACCTTTTGGTGAGAGGAAGTGTGTCTAAGAATGTGTGGGAATGACTTCACTGAGAACAGAGGAAGTAAAAGCAGTTTTCAGTCTGCTGGGGCTCTCGGAGCAGAGGTGAGCGTGATCCTCTTAAATCCACCTAACAAGTCATCGGGTCACAGATGTGCTGTTCCTCTGCTGAGACGAGAAAGTGTAACGCATATTAATATTAATCCACCAGCTCTGCCTACCTGATGAGCACATTTAGCCCCAAACAGGAGGGAAGAATCCAGATTAAGACAACACTGAGTGCCAGATGACAGAGATTACACTTTAATCCCTGCTGTTACTGGGACTGGTGATATTTATAAGATTATTTATTTATTTTTAACCCTTTAAAGCAAAAAGGAATAAAAAAAAAAATACTATCATTTGTTCCTATTACCTGTCATTGACACCTGGATTTGGCCTCTTTCTTCCATTTTTCTCAACACTGTTCCTCCTGAAGTCTTATCATGTGACTCAGTTTCATAACTGCCATTCGTCTTGCGTTGGTGGATCCAGTTTTTGTCATTTCTTTGTGATGGATTTCTTACAGGCTGCTAACAAGATTTTAAACAAATACATGACCCAGTAATTTTGGCAGTTACCAAATTAATACACTCCCTGAAATCTACAGTCCCAGGTTAGAGCCAAAAGACATTTATATTTACTCCAACATGGCTGTTTGCAGATTCAGACTTGCTTTCAATTCTGGGTGTTGACAATAAGTGTTATCAAATCTTAAGAAATTAACTGTTGTCTTCTCAACATACGCAACCTCAGAAATATTCTTACACCCCCCCCCCCCCATTACATGTAGCATTTCCTCTCCATCAGTTGCTGCTATAATGTAGATACTACTCTATTTCTTTGAAATGTTGACTCCACTTTTGTCCTCTGAGCTTTACTTCTTTACTCAGAAAAACCCAAGATGATTTCTTCTTATATGAAAATTGTTTTAAACTCTGTTGTTGTTTTTCTGATCTGCAGAGCGGTTAAACAGCATCACTGGTTTATTTTTGCAGGTCTTTGTACTTGCCAAAAGAAAAGTAAAGCTCAAAAACAAGCCCGATCATTCAGTTGCAAATAAGGACAAAGATTAGAAGACAAGTAGTGTGATTACTCAAACTGCATGTTCTGAACAATCATGAGAATGTAAACACTAACTTCTCAGTTTTGGCTTCAGGTATCAGGATTTGTGGTTCTTAAAAAGCTCTTTGTTTTTTTTAAAGCTGCCTGCAAATCTAATCATGTTTTTATTCATCACATGCAATTTAATGTTACAAAATATAATGAGTTTATCACTTTATGTCACCCCAGACAGAGTATCCTGGAGTACCAGAATGTTACCATAGAAACTGTCTCCTTTCTTTACTTTATGAATGGATAAACTTAAGATGTGATTCGTGCTGTTAAAGTTTCCTCTTCGTCACTCACCACCTCCTCTGTCCCGTCCCAGCCCTTCGCAGAGATCGCCCAGCTCACGGACGTCCAGGAGGGCACGGTGGTCCGCTGCATCCAACGCCTGGACGAGGTGCTGAAGGAGGTGAGGCAGGCCGCCCGCATCGTGGGAGACTCTGTCCTGGGGAGCAAGATGGAGAAGGCCTCCTTGGCCATCCGCAGGGACATTGTCTTCACTGCCTCCCTGTACACCCACTGAAAGGTGGCAGGAGGGGGGAGGTGTGCCTGAAGCCAAGTGCTTTCTTTGAGGTGGAGGGGTGAGGGAGATGTACAGGGAGGAGATAATTGAGGCAAGAGTGTCTTCACATGTTTGGAGCTGAATGTGCCTACAAAACATGTTGATGTTTACATATAAATTCTTAGCAGGATGGAGGGACTTGTTTTAATCAAACAGACCAAAGTGCAGACTGTGAGGTGGGGGTTGGGGGCTGCATTGTAATTTATTGTACAGTAATAAAAAAAATCTCTATTCAAAGCCTGCCTTTGTTTGTTTGTTTGCATGGGTCTATTCTTCTGGGTTTCTTAACTACAAATCTGTCATCATGTGAGGACAAGATGTGTGAGGGAGGGCGGTGAGAGAGATCCATCCAATTCAGAGACTGCCTCGTTTGTTGAGCTGTAATGGGATGTTCCAGCCTGCTGTCTGTGCGCGCTGCCCGAGTCCGAGCTGTCGCTTTAAGACAGCGATAGCTTTGTGTCTCATTAATTCAATGTACAGCGACGCGTTAGCGGAGAAACATTATTAGACTGCCCTGCCCGCACAGAGAGGAGAGGAGAGGAGGGGGAGCTGAACGGAGCTGTGCGCGGTGACAGAGCCGGGTTTAAAGCAACAAAGGAAGAAGAAAAAACACCTCAAGTTGTTACTGCCGCTAAAGAAATAAAGATGAAAACATCCTGAGGATGGGCTGCACACGTTTGGATTAAAAGTCTGCATCATCGCGCACTTGAAGGAGGATTTTCACCACCAACTGGAGTAAAGGAAAAGAAAATAGATCCAATCAAAGGAGGCGGACAGAAGATCTGAAAGCATGTCGTCAGAAAAGCACGGTGAGGCGTTTTAATTGTCTGAAGCACGAAGGCAGATCCAGGGCATCGGCCTATATATATATGTGTGTGTGTTTTGGTTTTTTCTAGTTTGCTGTCATCTGCGCTTTTCCCAGCTGCCCCCTTGTCAACCTCTCCATCCGCTTTTGCTTCTGCTGTGTCTACAAGATGATGCACCGCTGTGTGGGTGCAGCTTTGGTGGGGGTTGGAAAAAATAACCGCAGGGCCGTGGAGACTTTAAACTAATATCATCAGACTTTCTGTGTGTATCTGCTGAATTTATTTCTTTTACATTTAGTTTGTTTTCATGTTCAGATTTTCTTCACTGAAGTGAGCTTTCACATCCTTCCTGGACTCCCTGTTCCCTATTTTTCCTCCCCTCTGTTATATATGTCTCACATCATTACGCACGGGCCTACGTACATCTCTCCTGACTATAGACAGGATGTGGGTGTCCTTTGCGCGTGCACGCCTTTAACGACCATTTATTGCTCGTGAACCCGAGCCTCTCTTCCACAGACATACACACACTTTAATCCTTCCACTTTCTAATATTTTAGAATTTGAAGCACCAGTTACTGATGTTGCTGGTGAACTGCATCTTTCCTCTTAAAAATATTCAAATAAACAGTAAAACAAAGTAGACGATGACACCTGATCTTGCCTCAGGAGGTGTGAAGAGCATAATGTGGATCCGGCTGTAAACGTGACCGCTGTCTTGTGCTTTAATCAGATCTGAGAGGCTATAATTAAACAATGGATGGACATCTGCTGATGCTCAGAAGACACTCATGGGAATGCAAAACCATTAAAATACAGCAGGGACGTTAATGTGTTCAGCTAAATGGATGTACAGGTATTCGTTAACTGTTCCAAGCTTCTAAGTAGCAAATGCCTCAAGAAGAGACTATTACAGGCATTTTGCTGATGACAGACGGACTCGGTTTTAGTTCTAACTCGAGGGCAGCATCACATTCAGGTGTGCCACTGCCACAGCTCTGTGCATGCTTCTGGGTGAATCATCAAACATTAACGTGGCCAGTCACACCTGAGCTTTTCCCACAGCTCAAAATGTCTCAGGTTGTAACTCAACAGAGAAAATCAATATTTCTGATTAGGTGTGTTTGACGGCTTCTGGTCAGTAAAATCTGCAGCTGTGGGCGCTGCAGATTGACTGCGACCTTAAAGGGACACTTTACCCCAAATCAGACATATCCTACCTCGGGCCTTAACCTGCTGTTTATTGATCTCAGCTGTTTTTAGTGTGACTTTTTATGATATCGGCACCAAACCAGCTCAGAAATGCTCACTTTACTTGGAATAAAATGCAACCAAGTGGAAGATAGATGGATGCTACAGATTCAACTGTTTTATGTCCCAGTGATCACTGAGATTAAGGCAAATTTAAACTTTACTGGCCAAGCAAGAGTCCAGGGATGTTTCAAGATGGCTGCTGAGCTGTGAGACGTTACAGCTGATCTGAGAGAGGAAGCCATGAATGTTTAAATGCTGTCACTCTGTCACGAGCCTTGCCTGGACAGGCTGACACTTTCATGCAGCTGGCTGGAGTAGTTTGGGAGTTTCCGCATGAAACTGCTCACATCAAGATTTTCTTTTTGAGTAACCTGGTCATTATTTCTGTGAAGAGGTGCTGCTGCTGGGTTTTTCCCAATACAGGCTGTTTTTTTTAGCATGTTGAGTACCACAAGGCAGTACTTTACTTCCATTATATCCAAGAGAAGAGGAGCATTTCTGCACCTGATCCCTTAAAAAACTGGGCAGCACGTGCCAAAACAACTGAGATGGATAAATTAGATCTACATTTGATTTTGAGGTGAACTGTCCCTTTAATGTTTAAGCATTACAGTTTAATGGAAAGGGGGAAAATCAATATGTATTTGATTAAAAAACTATTGATCTATAATGATGGCTAGAATTGGATCAGTAGCAGACAACTTGCTTAAGACAGTGATCTATTCCTGGACAGAATTCAAACATTAAGGCAGAAAATGGAAGAGATTTAATTAAAAAGAAACATTATCATTATTTATTCAGTGAAATAACAGAAGAAAATGTGTATTTTAGCTTAAATCTGTTGTTGAAGTGATGACAAAACACTGCGCGTGATTGCATTTTGCAGAGTATTGACGAGCGATTAAATTAACTGCTCGGCTTGAGTGTGCCCACAGTTTTATTTCTCTCATCTGGATGCAGGTCGTTGCGCTATTAAGATCTTTATCATAAAGAAGAAAATAATGTGACGTCTCATGTTATTTTATATGGAATTCAAGTTATAATTGCCAAAGATGCTGCGCACACACACACACTCTGATATATTTTCTGCTCATCACGTGATGACCTTTCAAAGGTGTCTTCCTCCTCGCGCTCGCTCCTTTCCCCTCTGTCTCTTTCTGGTCCACTTCCTGCTTGTGACAGGGTTGGGGCCTCTTACGTAAAACCGGTCCCCCGAGCGCACAAGTCGTCATCCCTCATCACCCAGCTTCTCTCCCGCTCGCTGACACTGCCTCCTGCTCTCCTTCTTCATGTCTCATCAAATCCTCCCTCTTCTATTCCTCCATCCATCTCCATTCTTTTTTTTTTCTCCTTTTCTTCCTCCTCATGTCCCTGTCAACTTGGATTATCTCAGCCACCTCCCCGCTTCGACAACGCAACACCCTCTCAGTTGTTTTCAGTGTTAAGCAAACACAAAGGGAGCAGAGGTGTGAGCATTAAAGTGTTCAGACGTCCAGAAGCAGACAGATGCTTCGGGACGTGTTTCTCGACACCTGAAATGCCAAATTTCTGCTGCTAATAAACTTCTTTGTGAAGGATAAGCAGAGAAAAAGGCCTTTCTTCTTTTCCTTTGCCGGCAGTGTAAATGCCAATCACTGTCATCATTAGCCTGCGCAGGTTGGAAATGTCAGGCTTTGTAGCTGCTTTTTTAAGTCTTGCTGAAGAGCTGTGCTCCGTGTAATTGTTTTTTTCTCTCCTCCTCGGCAGTGAAATAAGACATATTAGAGCCAACATGCAAACACACGTGTAGCCGTGCTCGAGTTAGATAACACGCTCTCGCTCTTACATCTGTTTCTTTTATTGTTCTTCCTCTGCCTTGTCTATTTCTGACTGCTCACCTACCTTTCCTCATCTTTCCTCCCTCTTCCACTCTCAGGGCTCGATGACTCTGGCCGTCAGACCATGCAGCCTCCTCCGTACCTGCCCGGCCCACAGGACCCCAACATGCCCCAGCACCCCAACATGCCTCCCGCGCCGGGCACCCAGCCCAACTACCCTCCTCCGCCTCCTCCTCCGGGTTCAGAGGGATACCTCCAAGAAACTCAGTTCCAGTGTGCCCCGATGGGGCCTCCGGGAGCCCCGCAGGGCTACACTGTCCAGACCCAGGCTCCGGGAGGCACCATGGCGCACCCTCCTGTGGGATACCTCCACCCGGGCTACCCGCTTCAGCTGCAGCCGTGCACAGCTTACGTTCCCGTCTACCCCATGGCATCGGTGAGTGAGACACAGCCTTGAAAGATTTCACAGCTCTGGCAGCAGGCTGCAGCAGAATTAAACCTCCACACTTCTTTCCGGCTCGTTTAAAATTGTCCATAATTCACTCCTCAGTAAGATCCACTAAATGTCATTCGATGCTTATTATGCAGGGAATCAAACGTTCTTCTATTATCTCAGGGGCTTGTCTCTATCTTCAGAGAAAATGCGCATTTTGTGAAGTAATTTGCTCATTTTCTGCTTCGTTTGTGGCACCTGCTGTTGCGTCAATTAGCTGGACATTTATTAATCGAACGATGTCTCTTTTTTTCCCCACATAATCAGCAATAAATGTCGCAAAGCTCAGTCAGAAAAAGGAAAATTACAAACCTTCTGATTTGTTCCAGTGAGCATGTCTTTATTTATCAGGCTCGTGTCCCACCAGCCCACAAAGAGCCTCTCGTATGATTTTAAATATCTTTAATGATGATGAATGATCATTTTTAATGATTAATGATGCACACAGCAGTGTTTTGAATAAGCTCTTTGGTGTTGCTTTCATTTCATTAATTTTGCAGGCTCAGACAGGGACGTAAACATGCAGGCTAATTCTGCACGTTGTTGCATTATTAGGCTGAAGTAATTTGCATTGATTGTCCTTGTACTTATATAAAAGCGTAGGACATTTTTCAGGCTAGAGGACATGTGGTTTCATTTTTGTGTGCAGCTGACAGTGTTTGTTTGATTCTCATAACAATCGAGATATTTCTCTGAGCTTTGAGCCTGACGGGTGAAATCGGTACTTCGTGGTAAAGTGTGCTTAAAGTGAAAGATCGTCTGGAAGCCACACATAAATTATAATACATGAAAGCTGACGTGTCAGTTAATTAATATCAATGTAATCAGTTAACCCACATTACATAAATTATACTGCTTTTTTTA